GTTTTTCAATAAAAAAATAAAATGACTAAAAATAGAGGTTTTTTTATCTTATTTTTAAGCGGCACGGAAAAAATTCAAATATCGCAAAGGCCACAAAATTCTTTTATAATTTTTGTACGACGAATGCATAGAAGAAATCTGCAGTTTTTGGTTTTTTGCTTGTATTATTCCTTAAACGTATTCCTGTTTAAGGAAAATTAAAAAATTACGGAAAACATCGAAATTTTCAATTATTTTATAAAAAAATAGTCACATTTTTCGCAGTTTTGTCAGAAATTGTTTGATTTCACTATCTTTCTTGATAAAATAGATTAGAAAAACAAATGGAAAAATAAACTGAATTTTTGTCTTTAAATATTGTAAAGGATGATTATTTTCGGTTGCAGGCGACCCAATGGTGGAACATTTTCGGCGAAATCGAGTGTTTGGCCTTGATGATCGCCTGCTTGTGTCACGACCTGGACCATCGAGGCACCAACAATTCGTTTCAAATCAAAGCCTCCTCTCCTCTCGCCCAATTATACTCAACATCGACAATGGAACACCACCATTTCGATCAATGCATAATGATTCTGAACTCTCCCGGTAATCAATTGTTATCAAATATATCATCAGAAGAGTACTCGCGAGTGATTCGAGTCCTCGAAGAGGCCATTCTCTCCACCGATTTGGCCGTCTACTTCAGGAAAAGAGGCGCTTTTTTCAGCGCGATCCGAGACAGCAGGCCGTGCTGGAGTTTGGACGAACATCGCGAATTGTTAAGAGCAATGCTGATGACAGTTTGCGACTTGGCGGCCATCACGAAACCCTGGGAGGTTGAAAAAAGGGTGGCCGAGTTGGTGTCGTCGGAATTTTTCGAACAGGGTGATATCGAACGAGAGGAACTCAATATTACTCCCATTGTGAGTGAATCAAAGGGTTTAGTTTCATGGTTGAGTGTGTTTTAACTATTTTAGGACATAATGAACAGGGAAAAAGAGGACCAATTACCCCTAATGCAAGTAGGATTCATTGATTCGATTTGTTTGCCGATTTACGAGGCGTTTTCGCGACTTTCCCCTCAATTGGAGCCGTTGGTGGACGGCGTGAGGAAGAATCGAGTCAAGTGGCTTGAGATCGCAGCAGCACAAAGTCTCATCCCTTCTGAGGAAGAGCGCGATTCGAACGATAACCTCTCCAAGCCGAACACGCCCGAATCGAATCCGAACGCCCCCCAAATAAGCGATTAGTAAATTGTAGTTATTGTAAATAATTCCCGAAGACTATTTATTGTAGTTTGTATAATTTGAAAGACTTAATAATGACGACCACGGTGTTTTAAGAGAGTGTTATTTTTTTAAAGTATTGTCAAAGAATTTTTCAAGGCTCTAAAACTACTTCCCTCCCCGTATTAACTTATTTATTTCCGTGAAAATCTCAGTTTTATTTATTTGTGAGTATTGCATAGGTTGTAAGAGAGCTCTCTTTAAGTTTCTAGGATAGGTTTTAGTAGTCACTTGTTGTGATATTTTAGTGGGCTCTACAGAAATTATGGCAAGTAGAGAACCGTATTTTAATATGGTATTATATTCGTTGAGGAAACTATTTATACCAAAGCGTATTTTTTAATCCTATTTTACTAATTAAGTTCATATGTTTTTAATAATGTCTGTCATTGTCATTTCTCGAGGAACTGTTTTCAAAAGTTTGTTTTGTATAAAATTTACTAAGTGTACATTCAGTGTAAAAATTATTAATTACAATAACAATATTAATATAATATACATTTATTGAAAAGAAAATTGAGTTTTTGTACCCACACCAAAGAAATTATGAAAAACACAAATCGAAAAATTAAGATTTTTGCCAAAATTCTATAAGATTTTAAGTATTTTAGGCACACGAACGCAAGAAGGCATTTAAGAGTTTTAAAATTTCATAAAAAATATTAGGAAAGTAAAAAAGTATTCGAGATTTTAAATATTTTGGCCAAAAAGAGGTATTCCAGATTTTGAAAAGCAAAATATTACTAAAAATTGCAAGTTTTTAAAAATATTGGGATCACAAGAACGCAGTGGTAAAAATAAAATTTTGAAGACACAGACACAGAGATTCCGCATTTCAAAATTTACGATCACAGCAACGTAAAGAGGTATTCAAAATTCTAAAAAGCGAAATTTTTGCATGAAATTTCAAAATTCTTAAGTCTCATGAGTTACAAGGATCATAGGAACGAAAGAAGTGTTCGGGATTTTCAGAATCAAAATTTTGAAAGTATTAAGAGTAGTAAGTAGCAAGGCAAAGAGGTATTCAAGATTCTAAAATTTTGAAAAAGAATTTGAGAAATAATACATTTTATCTAAAACATGACTAATTTTTTTTCATAATTTAATAAATACTGTTGTACTCACAAATCACAAATCACACACACTTCACTTTGCGATAAACATCGAAATAAAAATTTTTAATGCACTAACCTTTATGGCATCTTCTTCTGCTACCCTTTGTAGCAATTCGCCTTTGCTTCTTAAACGGACCTACTGAAAATAAGAAACACAAAATTAGTTTAATGTGTTATTAAATCAGTTGAAAACATTAAATAAATTTAAATGTTGTTTTTCTAAAAAAAATTAAAAGTATTGTTGACTAACCCTTTAATCCGGATCCTTGTAGCACGATTGCTTCCTCCATATTCCCTATTGGCACTCACTAATAACTCAAAATTTTAAAAATCGTGCACTGCTAATTTTTATTAAGCACTCGAAAATACTCAACACGCAACACATTTCTACACAGTTTCGCACTGAACCACGAAATAAGTAATTTATTCGGACTGTTATCACAATTCAAGTAACTCGTACGGGAGCTTGACTCAAACTGACTCGTTAATGTAATAATTCCCAAAAACGGCATAAAACTTATTTTGTAACAGTTCGTCACAAAATAATTTGAATATTACCCAATTCTACGTCACTACTTTTTGGTATTCAATATTTCAAAAGAATAAAAAAAATATATTTTTTAACTTTTAGAAGAGGAATTACATTAAGACAAGATTTGTTTACAAACACGGTCATAGAGCATAGACCAGTATTTACTTTTTCGTTTGTTTAATGTAATCTCACAAAAAAATCTGAAATTTTAGTACAAAAACGCGCCTAAAAACATTGTGATCAAATTTCGTGTTTTCTCGGATAATTATTGACTTAATTATTTTGGTTAAAATCCTGTTAAGTTGAGCGAAGTAAACAAAGCAACATCAATTTTAATTGTTTTTTTTTATTTGTAAGCGTATTTGGTTAAGATATTGCCCTTGATAAAAAAAAACACTAAAGCGAAAACTGAGCGAAACAAGCTAAAAAATAATATCAATTTTGATTTAATTTTGGAATTTTTCGGTTTGTTTATTCAAAGTTTTTCGGAATTTGTGTGTTTTATTTCAAAAACGTGTTTAAAGACTAGAAAAATGTAAAAAAAACACCTTTTTGGTCAAATTTTTAACGAGATATTGCGAAATAATTGTGTTTCTAGCTGAAAAATGTAGCTCATCGTTGTCAGAAACTGAAAAATATTTTATTGAACTCGTTTAAAGAACACTTTTTCGCGTTAGAAACGCAGATGCAAGATGGCGTTCCAGTGTTGTCTGCTTATTTTTCCAAGAAATTTCCTATCTCGTCTCTGGAAAATTCCCTCCGCTCTTTTGTTCATTAAAATCCAATAAAACCTTGACGCGCTTTCCAATTTTTCCTCTTCGATAAAGAAAATAATTACATCATCGGAAACGTGCATTGAGGAAAACATCATATAATAAAAGCACTGCGCTTGCGTCTTCATGCCCAGCAATCGCCGGGGAAAACTGAAAATTCAGTACGCGTTTCAGGCCCGGCGTTTAAAGCTCACCGTTTTCATGAAAAAGCGCGCTCTATTCACAAATATGGATAAAGCCCCTGTGATATGTGAATGAATCCACACTAATTTAACACACGAGATGTAAGTAGGAAAGTTTCTCGCCCAAGTCATTTATCACTCGATTTTCCGGTAATGTTATCATCCGGAAAAGAAGGTTTCTCTCTCCGTGCTTTGCCCCGATTTTAATTGGAGATAAAAATGAACTCGCATAAGTTTTTTATTTCATTTTGGCATTTTCCAGCTGCTGATTTTTTTTTTCAAATTCACAAAACATATTTTAATTTAATTGACTTTACCATTAATATCGTTTTTAATAAAAATTCCCAAATTGGTCGTAAATGTGGTTATTGATCAATAATTTTATCACAACATTTATTTCATTAGTTCAATAAATTCCAAACAAGTTATTTAGAATTTCTGCTTGTTAATCATTGTTCTTGAATCTCTTTGTTGCTGATGACAGCCAAATCTCCAAATCCCTTCGTTACAATTCTATTACAATAACAAATCCTTCATAATTAATAGCCGGTTTTAATGAAAATTCTGTTTGCTGTAAACATCTCACCTACTCCATTCTAAACCTTTTAATTAATTAAAAGAGAGAATCTGTTATTTATTACGTACTATCTGGGATTTTTTATTTCGATAAACTCAATTTAACAACGCAATACTCAATTGTATCGTCCTTGTCGTCACTTTAACAAAGTTCATTTTTGAAGTTTAATTACTCTCAACTAATTTATTCCAGGCTTTAGAATATTTCTCGTTACGTTGTTTTTCAGCTTCAAAAAAATTATCTACCATGTATGAAAAATCAAGATTAGGGCAGTATTACTTTTATTACTCATAAAAATATCTAAAATACATAACGAACATTATCACATAATCATATCTCTATAATTACTCTATAATAACATAAATTTGTATTGAAATGAGGCAATTTTCAAAAACCAAATTTTTACGGATATTTCATATTTTGCTATACAGGAAAAAACGTTGAAAGATTTTGAGGGGCTGGTTTCCTAAGTAAAAATAAGAAAAAAAGTCCGGAAATGCTTCCTGGGGGAGCTAGGGCCCCCTAAAGATGGTGGAAAAAGGGCTTTTTTCAATTATTTTTTCAATTTGATTTGGCAGAAGTTTTTAAAATTTTTTACAGAGTCGGATTTATTAGCTAATTTTCCCCTCAAAAAACGTCTCTTGTGTTATTTTTGTACGACGTACCGTTTTCGAGAAAAACGAGATTTTTCATATAAGGTGGAATAAAATTTACAAAAACAATATTTTTACTATGAGGAATTAAAAAAAATTATTTGCCAAAAAAAATTGTGAGATTATTTAAATTTTCTGAGGGAAATAACTCCCTGAGGAAGCATTTCCGGACATAGGTCCATAGGAACTTTTTTCTTATTTTGACCTAGAGAACCACCCTCAAAATTTTTTAACATATTTTTCGGACTTTACTTTTGAAATACAACTAACTATACAAAAATAAAACAAATTTGTGTTTTTTTACGTTTTATTAGTTTTCAAAAAAGATTGAAAAACCACTTGCTGTGTAATTAAAATTAAATTGTGCATTTTTTGTGAAAAATCGTGAATTAAAAGGCAAAATGCGCATCTTTGTTACAATTTGACTTTTTATGTTGTATAACTGGTTGTTTGCCACAAAGATGCATTAACATTTCATTTTTTAAAGGTTGACTTCTTTTGAAAACATTTCAATTAAGTTTGCAGATGTTTTCATTTGGAAGCTTACAAAGGCAATTAATCTTGAGCAAAATTGACGTTTTAATTTAATTCGTTTTCCACTTCCTCTTTTGAAAAAATGTTTATTAACAAACAATGCAAAATGAAACGTCTTGCATTTAATTAAGCAGAAAACAGTAAATACACTGCATGTAATTAAGACGTGACACAGTTTAAAATAAACAAAAAAGTTTGTAAACTTTGTCCTAAAGGACTTGAGTTTGAAACTTCGAAGCGTGTCTATCATATTTCTCGAAAAATTCCCGAAGGAAATCCTCAAGTTCTTCGACGAAATTGTTCATTTAAAATTAAAGAAAAGAATAGTTTGGAATAAGATAAGATACAATATTTTGAGTAGCTTCAGGAAAATTCTTCAAGTCTCGACATCAAGGCTCTTTCATATTGCGTGAAAATATCTAAGCAATTCGAACGGAATTTGTAATGTTCAAATAACTCGGCCCTTTGTAAATATGCCGCCAGTGGTCACCAAACATTATAAAAAACAGAATTTTTGATGTTTTTCCAAAACATCCCGGAAAAATTCCACTCTTATAATAAGGTGCTGAAATCGATGCGAAAACGTGTCTGATCATATATTGCTTTCGCAATCCTTCCCTCACAAAGAACCTTCTTTTAAGTTGGTACTTTTCGATAAGAGACGTGCCTGTCAAACGTCAAATTTGTTTGCTCTACGCTTTATTGGAACGCCGCCTCTTCCCTCTTTAAGTAGTTACAGTGTTGGCCTTAATGATGTTCCCGGAACTCGGGCCATTTCGAGCTCTACATTTTTTTTATTGCAAACTTGAAAGATATTACTCGTTTTTTTTTTTAAAGAAAAAATCATAATTTTCCAACTTTTGAAAAATAAGTTGTCAATGCATCTGGCAGACAACCAGACGAAATAGCAAGCACCAAAACGAAGATTTTGTGATAACTTTATGTTTATGTATTTTCCCTTGGATAGAAATTAAGCTAATGCCAAATCGATATAGACCGGAATAATAAACGGAAATATTAAATTGATTGCCTGTCAACATTTTTACGGCAAAGCTCCGCCCACGCGTGTCACGTGATTGACCTTGGCGAGTTTTCGACATCATTGCAAACTTGATTTGAGTTCAGTTAAATTTTTAAATAAATTAGTTTTTGAAATTGGTTACGACACTCACTCAGGCAATCCGTTAATTAGACAATGTTTTTACTCTGCTATCAAATACTCCCTAAAGGAAATATTTCTCTATTATTAGGTTGTTAATTGTTCTGTCAGTTTCATACTTGGCGTAAAGTAGATAATTCAGCTGGGGATTGGAAATCGCTTAACGATATTGTATTTCCAAACAAAACATATTTTCAGTTAATCGCAAAAATTTCAATTTTTAATTAGAGTGCATTTTTATTCCCTTCATTTCAATGTCTATTCTTTTTTAATGACATCCTATTCTTCACTCAGAACAATGTAATTTTTATGATCAATTCCTTGAAATGAAATGTTAATTTCATTGCCTCCAGAAACTTTCATTCAAAAAATAATTACTTTGATCTGGTTTCACAGGAGAGAAATCGGATTTGAATCCAACATCATTTGGCATAACTAAAAGATTTTTTTTAACATACAGAGTGTTAAAAAAGATTGGAGGTAATAGTATGGACCAAAAAAACGAAAAAGTCTTAATAAAGAGATATCAAAAATAATGCGTGTTTTGAAACATTTTTTTGCAATCTGTTCAAACAAAAAAGAAAAGCTTTTAGTAACAATTCTAAAAATTGTAAATTTTACATACGTTACTGCGGACCCATGTATATTAAGACTTTTTTGTTTATTTTGACGAACAATTATAATACAATTATTATCTCTTTAAATATTTTACAATTTCTTTTTAACACCCTGCATAGCGCTCTACTATATCATTTACTATAAAACGTTTTTTCATACTCATACATTCATACTTTTACAATTACATATACCTTTCGTAATTTTAATTTAATTAGATTTTTTTTTCTACGCAAACGTCACAAAAATCAACATTTTGTGAATTTTGCTCGATTTTCCTGTATTTCAATTTTTTCAATTAATAAATTTTGTTAAGAAAATATATAGTTGTTTTATTTATTTATAAAACGTAAAAAACTAATTAAAATACATTCAATTTACTACATCAATAAACGTAAAAACAAATAATAAAATGGTTATTTTTACTTCTATTATGACTAGGTAAAAATTGTTTTTTTATTAAATACCTCTGAAATTGGGGTGGATTTTATTGCTTATTAGTTGGTTATGTCAATTTTCTGATACATTTTAAAGGACTAAAAATTAATTGTTATTGACATGTTTTCACTTTCTTTCAAATTTTTTTTTGTGTGTAAAACCGGAAAAAATAATTTTCTTATTTGGTGCTTAGAACTGAATAAATTAACTAAATTTCATCCTCAAAAATCAATTTTTTAGACTAAAAATGTGCTTTCTTCACTTGTTCACTTTTGTTCCTTTCTTTTTTCTTATTTTTTTTCGAAAACTCAGAGTTCAGAAAATACATTGCTATTTTTCAGTTTATTTTCACCACATTTTAAAATTTTTTATCTGCAAACGTCACAAAACTGACCACTTTTATGACTAAATGTCACAAATACCTAAAAGTTTTACCTTTCGGCCATGGAGTAAAAAATTTTTGCGTTTAAGCATTTTTACTTTTACCATGACATTTACCAATGTTTCTGGAGAGGTACATTATAGATCAGTATTCGAAATTTTGCACTACTAAACAATTCAAATAAATTCAATTTACTATAAATAAACACAAAAACAAATAATAAAATGATAATTTTTACCTCTATTATTATCTCTATAAAATTGTTTTTTTGTTGCTTTATTAGTCGGTTATCTCAATTTTCTAATTCATTTTAAAGAACTAAAAATTAATTTTTTTGTGGATTTTTTCACATATTTTCACTTTTTTCAAATTTCTTGTGTGTAACACCGGAAAAAATAATTTCCTTGTTTGGTACTTAAAACTGAATAAATTAACTAAGTTTTATCCTCAAAAACAATTTTTAGATTAAAAATGTGTTTCTTTGCTCACTTTGGTTGTTACTTACTTTCTTCTTATTTTTCTCTAAAGCTTATGAGTTCAGAAAATACATTGCTTAATTTTCTATTTATTTTCTACCACAATTCAAAGGTTAAAAATGTTTTTATTTACAAACGTCACAAAAGTGTCTATGACTAAATGTCACAAGTAAAAGTTTGACCTTTCAGTGCCTTTGCGTCAAGCATTTTTACTTTTACCATGACATTTACTAATGTTGTCTTTTTCTTCTCTTTTGCTGCTTTAGCAATTTCTGGAGAGATATATTTAGAACTACTAACTGCACTAGTCGTCTACTAGTTAAATTAACAGAATCTCAACACAAATTTTATCGTTGACGCGTGATGTTTGTTCAATTACTTGCTAATTATAGTGTTTTTTTTTACTTTCCATCTGAATATTTATGATTTATGTGAATACCGATGTTTTTATGCTCCACGTGTCCTGAAATTGGCATATCTTAAGCTCCTAAATCGTGGATAAAGTCGCGACGTCAGGAGTAAAACACGCGAAAAGCCGTTCCCGGAGCTGATAATATTCCGGGCACCCTCCGGGCTGGCAGTCCCGGAGCTCAATGTTTCCACCGTCCCCCACCAGCAGCCAGAATTGTGTCGTGGGAGGAGACATTGATTCCACGTTGTGTACATTCAGCGGCACTCAACAAGTGGCAGCAATATTGTTGCATCGCCAGCAATTAACGCTTCATTATAAAAGCGAGGTCGAAACACCACAGTAATTAAATTAACAACGCAAAATTGATTTCATCTAAATACTGGATTTTGAACTCAAAACTCATCATTTTGTCAGAATCTCTGGTTAATTAAGTGTAAAATTTCTGACTTCAATATTTCTTCCAAAAAGATTTTAATAAAGTTATGATGGAAGAGTGGTTAAAAGAGGACATCACAGATAAAGTGTTGAAGTAGAGCGGATTTTACATGTAGCTGATTTAAATTTAAACCTCTCCACCTTTGGGAGAAATATGGTCAAATCCTTTGATGTGCTTTTTACTTTATGAAAAATTTTCGAGCTTATAAAATTAGATTCTTTTACATTAACTCTAGAAAGAAGTCACTTAAATTTATGTTTACATCGAAACAAAGTGTAAAGCAAGTGTTTAAATTTCGAGACACGTTTGTGAGAATTTTAGCTAAACTCGTGAAAAAATAAATGTAGAAACTGTCGGAAAAACTTCATTTTTTTTGAATGAAGAAACATTTTTTTCTCAACTTTATACTTAATTTTGGAAATATTTATTGCTATGAGATGTAAACCAGGTTTCAACAACTTTTGTCTACTCCCTTATGTAGATTTAACTTGAATCGGTTTTGCATTTGAAATACTGTATTTTTTTTATTTGTTTTTGTCATTTATTATCGATATTTTGTTGTGTTGTTTGGAAGATCAAATTTTAATATTGTGTTTCAGCTCGATTTTCCTGTATTTTAATTTTTACAATTAATAAATTTTGTTGTTTCATTTATTTATAAAACGTAAAAACAAATTCAAATAATTTCAAGTTACTATAAATAAATGCATAAACAAATAATAAAATGGTCATTTTTACCTCTATTATGACTAAGTAAAAATTGTTTTTTTATCAAATATCTCTGAAATTGAGTTTTTTTGTTGTTTTATTAATGGTTATCTCAATTTTCTAATTCATTTCAAAAAACTATTTTTTTTTATTGGCGGACTTTTTCACTTTTTCAACCGGAAAAAATAATTTCTTTATTTGGTGCTTAGAACTGAATAAATTAACTAAATTTCATTCTCAAAAATCAATTTTTTATACTAAAACTGTGTTTACTTCGATTGGAAATAGCACAAATTGCTTCATTTTGGCCTAAAATTATTTTTTAAGCAATTATTTTTATAAAATACTTCAATTTGAATGGTTTCTGTGTTAAAATCGCGCGAAATTAGATGGGAAATAATTCAAATTACTTTATTTTGGCAGAAAACAGTTATTTAAGCATTTATTTTGTTGGAAAACTTTGTTTCAAGTTGATTTTTGTAAAGTTAGCCAAATCGATTGAAAATAGCACAAATTGCTTTATTTCAGCCTAAAATTGGGATTAATCTTCTTGTTTCTTTCTTCCTTTCTTCTCATTTTTTTTTTTAATTCAGGGTTCTGAAAATACATTGCTATTTTTTAGTTTATTTTCTACCACATTTCAAAGGTCACAAAACGTCACAAAAGTGACCACTTTTATGATTAAATGTCACAAGAACCTAAAAGTTTAACCTTTCAGTCATGAAGTAAAAAATTTTTGCGCTTAAGCATTTTTACTTTTACCATGACGTTTACCAATATTGTTTCTTTACTTCAGCAATTTCTGGAGAGGTACATTGTAGATCAGTATTCGAAATTTTGCACTACTAACTGCACTAGTTAAATAAATAAACATTTTCTTCCTATAAAATGTGTCTTCTTCATTTGTTTACTTTTGTTTTTTTCTTTCATTATTCTTCATTTTTTCGAATGCTTCGGGCAGTTCAGAGAATGTACTTTTTTTTTTACTTTTCTATTTTTTTCTACCACATTTCTAATTATTTAATATACAAGACGATAAAGAAATTGTTTATCTACGAGTGAAAAGGTTAAGTTTACGAGTGACGAAGTCTCGAGTGGACATTTTTCACGAGAATCTTTATCGTCGTGTATAATATTTCGTTTTATTTTGTATTCACCTACCAGAATTTCTTGTATCTGGCTACTCTGGTCAAAGTGGAGTAGATAAAAATTACTTTATTTTACTAGAGGATCAAAGACTACTTTATCTACTGAAATTAGTTGATAAAAGCACTCTTTAACATTGAGTACTTACAAAATACAGTATAAAAAGTATATTGTTGTGATAGGACTATTTTTTTCTTCACTTTCTGTTTTTTTTTTCAATTTTCAGAATTTTTTGTCGAACAAATAATTTTTACTAAAAAACAACTGTAAAAAAAGAACCATGAATTTGAGTTTTTGTTTCTAATATTTTAAAGTGACATTTTTTTAGTAAAAATTTAGGGTAAAAAGCGTTGAGCGTTATATGTTTTGTTACTTTGTGTATTTTTTTCAGAATGGCCGAATTCGGGCGCCCCCATTTCTCCACGCTCTGAACGCCCCATTAATGCTGTCGCCTGCCATACCCGGACCCATCCAGCAAGGCATTTGCCTTCAAAAGTAAGTCATAATGATTGACAGCTACCACAAATACCACAGCTTTGCCTATTGGAGCGTATGATCCTCTCTCTCGCGAGTGCTTTTCAAGCTTACCTCCAACACACATATTAGCTGTTTCAGATAAACCGAGTGTGAAAGCGAGCGACGAGAGGACCGTTCCATCTATTTCAGGCTTGATACGCGAATTGACCTTCTGGAAAATGTCACACCAGGTCACGGTCACACGAAATTTTTTATTCAATTTGAGGTGTTTTTCAGTACCAATGAGGATGCGTAATGGAGGAAGGGTTTCTCTGGACGACTCTGACATTCATGGCTGTTGCGAGTGTTCTGGCACCTGTCGCAGGAAGCGAGCACGTGAAAAAGGTATAGTTTGTTTTTTTATCATTGTTTTTTAAACTAGCTACACAAAAATTGGTATTTCCCTGGAACAAATGAGGTTATAAATATACCCTAAATCAGTGCGTTTGATTACATTCTGAAGTAGTTTTTTCTCTTGTTTACAAATAAGGTAAAAAAATTATTAAAACGTCAAAAAATGTTTTTTGGTTATTACCAGTTTTATATCAATAAATGTTTTTAATACATGTTGTTGTTTCTTCTATTATAAGATTCGCCACTTTTAAGACAGCAAATGCTTGCCAGAAGTATCTTTTTTGGAAATTTTTTCAGTTTTCAGTACTTAAAAAAAGCGTATTTTTTGCGAAAAATTTGAAGTTTAGAGAAATAAATATGCTTGCTCCAAACATCAGTTTGGAGTTAAGTTTTAAGTTTCTTGAGTTTTTAATACTCAAAATTAGCAAAAAGTTTTTTTTAAGATTTCAAGATGTTTTTGAAAAAAAATAGCTTGCCTTAAATGCTTTTTTTAAGAATTTTCATGAGTTTCCTGTACTAAAAATTTAGGAAGTTTCAAATATTCGAGCAAAAATTTTGCTAAAAATCATTATGAAAAATATTGAACAGAACAAAAATTTTTGCTTTGTTTCGTGAACTTTTTTGAAAATGCTGCTGCTGAAAATGCTAATTTGAACAGCAGAAAAAAAGTGTAAATAGCTTTTTTGGTTACTTTTTTGAGTTTTCTGTACAACGAAGTTTTAAGAATTCGGTAAAAATAAAGATTTTTGTTAATTTTTAAATGCAACATTAATGTGTTTTTTGAGAAAAATTAAGGTTTGATGTAACAAATGCTTACTTCAAACGTTTTCTTTTGTCATTGTATTGTATAATATTTAAAAATTGTAAAAATTGACTGAAAATTGATAGATTTTTTGATTTTCAATACAAAATTTTTTGCAATTCTGAGTATATTTTTAGGAAAATTGAGGTTTGACAGCCTTAAATGCAAATTTTAAATTGGATTTTACTATTCAAAAATGGCAAAATTAAAAATTTAATTATAATCTGACTAGCGTGTCTACAATTTAAGATTAACGAAATAAAAAACTGCTTTATTTAAATGAAGATGATGACAAGACAAACAGAAGTAAGAAATAAAGATATAACAGAAATTTTGCTAAAAATCATGAAACCGTGTAAAAGGTATGGTTTTTAAACTTTAATTCTCTACAACTTCGTTCTTTACACTTTTTTTCTATCTTTAATTGTGTGTGCAGCATTTTATTTTAAAGTCAAAAATATAAGCCAAGCAAAAATTTCTGTTTTAATTTTTTTTTTAATTATTGTGTTTTCATCAAAATTTTTATTATTCCGGTAATCACAACGCAAACGAAAAAAATACAGGCAGATAGAGTATTAAATTCTCAATAATAAAAGATAAAGGTAATGCAAAATTTTTATCGATTACTGTATTTAACAAAATGTCAAACTTTTATTAATTTACAATACAAAATTAATGTAAACTTAAATGGTTGAAGATGGAGATAATTATGGTCTCGGAAACTTTTTGTATTTAAAAAAATATATAAATAATTATCAATTGCGACTACGGTTAAAAATACAAAAAAGTGTAAAGAACAAAACTATAAAAATTAAATTTTCAGCATATTTATCAGTTTAGTGTTTTAAAAAAAATAAAATTTAAATTAAAGTGTTCCCCCGGCACACAATAATTACCTTGAGCCGCTTTGAACGTCTTTGGGGCCTAAATCGTTAAATATAAAGATATGGTTTCTAAACTTTTTTGTAAGAAATTTTATTTTCTACAACTTTTACATTTTCTTGTATGTTTAACCGTATTCGTAGAATTTTGAAAAATATGAAACGGAACACAAATTTTGACGTTTTAATATTTTTTTCTCATGTTTCTCATGAAAAATGTGAGTTTTTCACAACCTATTAAAAATGTAAAGCTCAACATTTCTGCATTTTTCACTATATTTTTTTGGGTACAGAAAATCTCAGTGTTGGCACCACTAGCTAATTTATTCGTGGTAATTTAATAAAAGAAGTTGGTAGTTCCAGATTTTGATTTAATTTGAAATCGTCTAAAAAAAATGGAAATTTGGAGACGAAAAATGTTAAAAAAAATGATCCTGAAAATTAAGAGTCAATTTTTTGTAATAAATTGACAAGAATACAAAAAAAAACATAAATAAAGAACGCTACAAAATTAGTGTCTGTGCATCGTTTTTGAGAAATCAGTTGAAAAAGTACCAATTTTAAAACAAAAGTTGAAGAAGAATTTAGAAATTATACAAAATTTATTGCTGAATCTTCATGAGTTTAAGTTTTTTAACAAAATTAACAAAATTTCTAGGGCCAAAGACAAGAGCAAAAAGCAAACAAAATTTGTAGCTGCTACCAATTTTTTCCGTGTAAAAAACGACTTCAGTAATCCAGTTTGTAAACTGGGGAAACGATTTTTTTTTTTCAGAAAAACATCGAGGAAAGCCTGGAAGCCATCCACGACGTGGAGACGAAAAGTCTGGGTTTGTTGTGTGTCACCGAGAAATTCCGATCGTTAAGCGTACCTTTAGCAACGGCGCGATTCGAATCAGCACGGCAAAAAGCAGATCTCGTCGCCACCCTTTTGCAAGATCTCGGAGTGGCCCACCACAACGGTAAGTCTATGATAAGGGTAATTAAATGAGAAGCGGGTGAACAATCCAATTACCTCGCAAAGTCTAAACAAATAAACTCCGTTTGTGAGCAGGAATTAAAAAAATCCCCAAACTGAAATTTCAGTGATGCAAAATTGTAAACGACTATCGTCTGAAGATGCAGCCAACAAATTCGCCTTAATTGAGACCTAAACCAAAGAAATTTAATTAATGAAACCAATAAGGGAAGAGTAAGGCATGAATATTTCATAACTTTATAGCTGCTTTTATTGGATTTTGCTTTTCCAACTTTAACACTGGCAAATTTTAGGAATTTTCTTATTATGAGTTCCATTCGAATCATCAAATCATTGAAAATGTCAAATGCAATTGTATTACCGCGTGTGACATAATGCTTTCACTCGACGTTTCACTGAGCAATTTCATTCGTCACAATTACGGTGGAAAAAGCTGCTGACTCAATTTTCATAAATTGAAAAGAGAAAAAAAAAATACTTAAAATATGGAAATGTAATTGCGTAAATTTGCAAACGTAGAAGGACACAAACTTAGTAAAAATGCAGTCGGATGCTATATATTTTGGTCGCTGTCACTAAAAATTATTCTTTTATTTCAAAAATGCAATTTAATTAAGGACAATTTTGGTCAATTTTTGGCACCCGGATCACTCTATTGTCAATAACTCCGGAATTATTGGTGATAGCCCCTTACCGTAGACAGAAACTTTTAATTTTCCATGATATAGGAAAAGGTCATTGCCTTGCGATAAATAGTTATCGAGAAAATTGTTGATAAAACCAAAAATATCCAAAATATAAATTCCACTATAATTTCTAAACTATTTGGAATTTTGCAGTTTTCTCGACGCTAATTGACTTCCCGAAACATTTTACATAAGCAGGCTTTAAAAAGTTATAACTTTTGAGGTACAATTTTGCCGCAATTTACAAAAATAAAAAAAATGGGACCGTTTTTGGGTCCTAAAATTAAAAAAATCTGTACCATATTTCTTAAATCTTATTGAGGTACAAGATTTTACTTGATAATTTTGATATTTTACGATAAAAAGCTCTCATGCTTTACTCTTACGCTTATGCTCTCTTATACAGGGTGTCCGTTTTTCGAGCTCCACCATGGAGATCTCAGTTATTGTAAGAGATACGAGGTCGGTTAAATTAGGACAAACTTGTGCATTTTTATGCTCAACAACTATCTGAAAGAAAATTTATGTCATTTTCGTTTTTATCTTTTTTATCGAAAACTAAAAGACCTAGACGTTTTTAACTAAGACCTTTTTAAAGCACTTTTTTACAAGAAATCTAAATTTGTCATCGTATTTTCCAAGGCGTTCTTAACAACACTCAACTTTAGATTTTCTTATGAACGCCATATTCGATTTCTGTATTTTTAAAAACTCTTTTTGTTCCTGATTACAACGGTGTATCACACCAAATTTTACATGCTGATCAAAATTACGAAAAAGCGTTTTTGCGAAGAGTGCTTTTTCATATAAAAAAGATCATTGTCCTACGATAAATAGTTATCGAGAAAATTGTTGATAAAATTAAAAATATTCTAGATATACATTTGACTATAACTGCAAATTTTGCAGTTTTCTTAACGTTAATAGACTTCCCGGGGCGTGAGAATTGAAACATTAATCCATTTAGATATAGTCTAGCCGTAATTTACAAAATAAAAAAAAATAAAAAAAATTTGAATACCCCATGACATATTATTAAATTTTTAGGACCTCTAGAAATGCAAAAATGGTTTGTGATTGATTTTTTTGTTAAAAAAAAAGTCAAAAACAGTTTAAACGTCGATTGATTTTCTATTATTTTAAATTTTGCTTTTTTTTAGAAAATTTAACTTTAATTCTTAACTTTACATGTAGAATGTAATATCGTAATGTAATATTCTAAATGCCTGTCTCTGAAAATCACTAAAAAAAAGTCATGAAAACTGATTTTATTAAAATTAAAATAATTGTTGTGACAAGGCACTAAAGTCTTTCATTACAAATGTGTGTTTAGTTGCCGTGGCAATAGCCGAAAAATTTACATAGTTGCTTAAGTTAATTGTAATATGACAATTGACAATTTGAATTCATTGAAATGAATGGTTGCAGTAAAAAATTGTAGTATAATAAACTCTTTTAGTGCCGATTTTTGAATTTTTCGAAAAAACACAATTTATGTCATATATTTTTATACTTAAAACAAGCTGACGGCTCTTTTCAAGTACTTTCTAATAAACATAGAGAAATTGGGAATGCACCATCTCTATAAAAAGATTAAGATAAAGTTGGATGAAGTCGTTTTCTGTGTGAGAAATCCTACTAGTGGGTTAATGACAAGAAAAATAAGAAAAAATCGTACTAATCGATCTTTTGAAAAAAACTGTGTTAGAAGTACAAGACTTTGACCGAAAAGTTTGAAAAATAAATGAGTTTTCGTGTTTGGCGCCACCTCTGGAAAAACAAAATAAAATCAATAGAATTACGTACTGTGGTCATTGACAATGATAAAGTAAAAAAATTGTTTCAGATCTGAAACAATTAATTTTTTGTAATTAAGATATAAAACTGCAAATTTTACAAATAATATTAATTAATATGAGTAATAATTAAGATGTTTTTGGTTTTATTATGCCCCCCTGACTGAATGTATAAATTTATCATTAGAGCAGGCTTCTGGCACTGACAGGTTTCTCTTCATCCACAATTACCATAATCTCGTGTTAATTATTAGATTATTACAATGTAGTTATAATTAATCCCACGATGAAACTTACCAAATATTGTACTTGAATCTCGAATTTTCTATTAAAAGCAACGATAATAATTGCAAGAAACGATGACCAAGCGTGAGTCATTTGAATTAATCTGAATTGACAAATTAAAATTTTCCAAGTAAAATAAATTGATTAATAAAAAATTTGGGAATTATTTGGCGACACAAATAAACTTTGTTTAAGAAATTTTTGTTTGTTTTCCAAAAGATGAATCAAAAATTCCGAATTGGTGTCATCGGGACCGTGTTTCAGTGGACCTTTATTAATTTAATTTAATTTACTTTAATAAGAGCACAAAAAAATACACTACTCCAAAAAATTAAAGGAACAACAAATTTTCCAAAACTTTTTTGGTGATTTTTGAAAGGCTGAATTTATCAAAAAATGGTCGTATCTAGGTTTAAAACAAAACATTTTGAAGCTTTAAGTTTCTAGTTTTCTTTTGGCAAATATTTTTTGTGCGCGAGAAAAAAAAATCTAAATTTTTGTGTTTTTGTTTTTGGACCACGGACCTGAGAGTTTTTTTTTAGTTAAGTCAATGCATAGACCGGACAGCATGTTTGTTCACCATTAATATGCTTTTTTCATATTCTCTTTGCGTTAAGTTATTGCTGAGATATCTGTCTTCAAATGAAAAAGGTTCCTCTTGTCTTTGATCATCGATATCTCAGCAACTATGACCACAAAGAGAATATAAGGCTAGTGTCAAAAACTAAAGTAAATGCCTTATAAGATCCTCTTAGATTTTTTGGAAAAAATTTTTTTCACCTTTAATTTGTTTAAAAAAAAAGGAATAAGTAAGTTTTTGCGTTGTTTTAATAAATCTACCGCATATTCACTAATATTGATGGGGAGACTAATGTTTTTAGGTTCTTTACAGCTTAATGTACCCCTTATATCTCGGTATTTTTTTTTAATTAATCAAATAATCAGTATTGTTTCTTGAAATTTTTTTACAAATCTAAAAAAATCTGACATTTTTTTGATTTTTTTTCAAAAATTAAGCAGTTCATTGTTTCTTAAATGTTTTTACAAATTTTCAAAAAAATAATCAAAAAACAAATTTTGTTTATTTTTTTATTTTTAGTAAATAACTAATGCAACTAATGGATCCATTTAAAAATTAGCAGGGCTGTGAGGGATACTTTAAGCTGTAAAAACATCAATATTAGTGACTACGCAGTAGATTTTAGTTACTTTTTTCTCTTTTCTTTAAATCAATGTTAAAGATGAAAAAAATTATTTTCCAAAAAATCATAGATCTTATTAGATATTTATTCCAGTTTTTGACACTACCCTTATACTCTCTGTTTAGTCATTGGTTGCTGAGATATCGATGATCAAAGACAAGATGATCCTTTTTCATTTAAAGTCAGATATTTCAGCGACAAATTGATGTAAAACGAATATGAAAAAAGCATATTAAAGATAAACAAACATGCTATCCGGTCTATAAATTAATTTAACTAAAAAAAAATATCCACGTCCGTGGACCAAAAACAAAACCATAAAAATTTAGATTTTTTTTCTTGGGCTATTTCTTGGAATTGCGTAATAAGCGTAGCTTAAAAAAATATTTGCCAAAAGATCTCAAAACTAGAAACCTAAGACTTCAATTAAAATTGTTTTGTTAGAATCTAGATACGACCATTTTTCGATGAGTTACAGCCTTTCAAAAATCACCAAAAAATTTGAGAAAATTTTTTGTTTCTTTAATTTTTTAGAGTAGACTATTTGATATTTGGGTTTTAGAAAACAATTTCTTTTCTGAACAACATCTTTTTGGTTGAGAGGTTTACCAAATTCTGATGATCACTAAATATAAAATTTTTAATAACTTTTGACAAAAAAAAAGATTTCATAATTTACGCGCGTCAAAAGCACATTTTTTTCAATGTTCTCAAATTGAATAATAATAAAAATAAATTAAAAACAGAAAGTGTTTTTAATCCGCAATTTTGTGCAAAATATGCGCAAAATGTATATTTTATTGAAACACTCTTCGCTTCGCTCGTCGAAGCACACTTTAAAAAAATAAACTTTATTGATAACGGTGAGACATAGCTTGATACAGTGATTATTTGTATAATCAGTTTTAAAAAAACATAAAATTCTCTTAATTGGTCGATAGATTATTAGCAAATCCCCTAATCGGCCTGAACATAATCTCTAATTAATCTTTAAGTGGCTCTCAAATGACGTCATTATAAAATAGTAAATAATCTAAATAGTAAAAACCTCGTCGTGTTTTTGAACAATTTCTTGCAAATTATTGCACTCTTGGTACGGATTTTGGTCTCTGGATGGCGGTGTTGCTGAATTTTTCTTATTTTGTCTCACTTTCAATTCATCGATTAATTCTTGATTACCAACGCGCAAACTTTCGCTTCTTTTGGGCGCAATTTGTTGATTTGGAGTAAAATTTTGTTGGGAGTTGTCAAAATAAACCGGCGGAAAATGGTATAAATGTTGGTATTGGTCGGCTTGTGGTGTCCGTAAATTGTCTTGGTAGTAGCCATTGTAGGGGATTTTGTTGTACCCTGGGGGGGTAGGCACTGGGGCAACTTCTCCAAGCTCACTAGGTCGTGGAATCCTGATTTGGTGACTCCTTGAGTACCCAGAAACGGATGGTCTGTACTCGTCTTGTTGCCTTGAAGATGATCTCGAGATGTTATCTCTCGAAACATTGTCAGGCGTTGTCCTGGAAACGTTATCAGTAACACTATCGAGGGTACTAGCCCGACTCATGATGGAATCCACTGACTGAGAATCAAAACTTTTAATTTCGTCTTCTTTCTTCTTCTTCATTTTTTCTTCCAATTCTTGCGTGACAATTTTTCCTTCATTGTTTTTGGTTTTTGGTGGGGCAAAAAGAGCGGAGTGGGGGGTGATGGTACCCCAGATGTGTCCCGAGTGGGTTTCTATGACTCCTCGTTCTTTTTCTTTTCCGTTTTTTGATAGGATTTTGGTCAATTTTTGACGAATTTGACCATAAGGACAGTCGTTTTCGTGCCCCCACATGTCTCTCCCAAATTGCAAGCGGATGGTGCAGCCTCTGAAGCGGTAAACACATGGGAAAATAATCGATGTGGCGATGGTCTCATAAGCCAGGTTGCGGATAGCCCCCTTGGGAGTCCCATTAGAGTGGATGCATCTGTGACAGATATTTCTCCCATCGTGGACTATATAAATGGGTTTGTTGGATAAGTAGCTCTCACAGGAGACACATTTCAGGGTTTCTAACATTTGTTCACTGACATGTTCGAGGTTTATGTCTGGAAAAAACAGTTAAAATTGTGATAAAACAAGCGAAATTTTACCTGGATGATGTGGTAGTTTTCTTTCCGATTTGAAAAATGTTCCAGGACGAGAGCATAAAACATTGCAACTGTTTTGGAACAAACATCTTCCTTCATGGTCCAAAGATTCGTTCCAAACTAATCGTTTGTTGCAATGTTTCGACCAGTAGGTGCAAGGGTAACGGTATATTGAGGCTAAAGTTTCAAAAGCTATGTTTCGGTAGGTTTGTTTTGCAAAATGGACACAACGACCACATAGGATACTGCTGTCAGGGGTCACGTGGACTGGGCCACAAGTCACAAATTTTCGACAATGGCCACATCTCAGGTTTTGTAAAATCGGAATGGGAATGGGTGGTTTCATTATCTGGAAAAATGAAAATAAAAATTGGCAAAAAATAAGTCTTAATTTTGTGTTTTCAGAAAATTTTTAATTTTGATATTTTAAATTAAACGTGTTGTTTTTTGTTTTCATGTAAATATATTTTTGTTTTTATTTTTACTATTTTATATACTGCTATATCTTTTTTCATTCATGTGTTGTTGACAAAGCTGCTGTTTTTTTGTAGATATAGATTTCATGGAGAATAAAAAAATCAATTCGTTGCTATTTTTGTCGTATAATAGTACATTACGTTACTAGGAATAGTAGTGATAGATTATGTAGCAAAGCTGAACCACATAAACTCACTTTTCAATATTTTCGAAAGTGTAAATTTAACTAGTGCAGTTAGTAGTGCAAAATGTGGAATGCTGATAATCTACAATGTATTTCTTCAGATATTGCTGAAGCAGCAGAAGAAATAAGAAAAAAAAGCAACATTGGTAAAGATCAATAATGTCAGGGTAAAAGAGACAAGAAACATAATTTTTACTCCATGCTTGAACGGTAAAACCTTTCCTTGTGACATTTTGTCATTTTGTGACGTTTGTGAATAAAAGATAATTTATATTATGAAGCAAACAATTGAATTTGATTTTTTAAATCTAATATAATGAACAAATATCGGTCTTTATCTCATCAAGGTTTAAACTTTTTTTTAAAACATAAGACATTTTAGCTTTCACAAAAATGAATTGTGAACACATTTTTTGTTTTTTTTATATTTACAATTTTTTAATAATCATACTTCTAGCATTTGTCGTATTTTTTTAGAAAAAAATAGATTTTTGCAAGTTGGTAGACTGAATTTATATTGTTTGGTATAATATTTCCATGTCTTTTGTTATGATATAAAAAAGCAGTTTTAAATAAAGCAAAAACATTAATTTGTAAATATGATACATGTTATTTTTATTTTTATTTTATTACAATACTCTCTTTTTTAGTTTTTGACATTCATTTTTAAAGACATATTTCAATTTTTTTCCAACAACTGTTATTAAATTTTTGGTAACTTTTCCAAAAAAAAAAGGACAAACAAAAATACATAAATATAAAACAGTTTATTTGCACTCACAAAAATTGAAATAATTTTGATTTTTACAGTTCTTTCACATTTCGCAAAAATATTGGGTCTATTTTTTCATTTTTAAAATTTTTATTTACGCTTATTTGTTAAAAATAGCATATCTAAAAACCAAAAAGTTACCTATCTCAAAAAATTGCGATGAGTTTTGGTGATATAATTCTTAAAAAGGTAAGTTTGAGTGATTAAATTCAATAGATTTCAATCAAAATGTAATCGCAGAGATATAATCTTTGTTTTAACAAAACTTGTATAGTTTTTTTTCTTCTTGATTTTATCTTATTACAAGTACTTCTCAAAATTTAAAAAGATAATAATTTTGTCACTTGAAACAATTGCTAATCCATGATTTGGTGTTTTATAAACGAATTTTTCAAGCACAAAATACCGAATAATAAAGTAACAAGAGAAAAAATTTTAGTAAAGATTAAATTTTTTGTATATGAACAAATGTATTAAACTAAGATACCAGAAACATGGAAAAAATGTTAAAAAAATTCTATCTATAAAAATTTAAAAGATATGAGAGTTTAAATTTTGCACTTTCACTCTATTTATTTCTATTGGAAAAATATTTTTTTAAGTTTCTTCGCTACAGGCTATTAGAAGAGGAAATAAGGAAGGTGTATCCTAAAGTGTTTAATATTATTTGTGACTTTTATTGGCAAAATTTTTGTACCTTTACTAAATAATTATAAAAAAACATATACAAAATCATCAGTATTATTAAGTAGACATAAAAGAAATTCAAATATCAAATAATAAATGTCAAAATTTTTAGACATGTTTTTCGTAGTCCTGGTATCTTAATTAAAATTTTTCGCTGGGGCGCGAGTTCTGACTCACCCTGTATAAAAAAACTGAAACTGAAGCGTGGATTTGCTCGAGAATTATTGTTAGTTATCACGTCGTTCCAAAAATAAGAATCGTAGATAAGATGATTCGCATTTTTGATAAGGTGGAATAAATTTTTGCTTTTATCATCACGATGGAATGTAATATCACTAATATTACAAAATTTTATTGTTTTTAGGCCAAAATTAATCTAACTAGTTTGGAAATATTTTTAAAAAATCTAGGAAAAACTAATTTGTCTAAAAATTTGAAAATATTAATTTGTTTAATTTGTTATAGAGGAATATTTTAATATTACAAATACTCACATTGGGGGCTTTTGTAGCCTAAATCAGTTAAAATATTTACCGAAACACATGATTAACTCTTCAATGTACTTCACTTTATTACAGAACGTAATAAAATAGGTCCCTGAGAGGAAAATAGCAAACACGAGATAAGAGATACTGATAAGGCTTATCACACTCCTACTCACTACAATATTTATTATCTCAAATGCGGCCCTTTAAATTTTATTTTATTTTTTTGAAATTAAATTTCCATTGTTGTCAGGTTTACAAGGTGCAGTCTCAAAAAACCTTCTAGTCTCCGACCAAAGCGTCCTTTCAGCCCGTGTGTTGACAATGAATGCGACTTCTGGCACTTTGATAAACTGTGCTTGGTGGCAACGCCAAGGTCTGGATGTTGGAGAACCACGAAAACTGCGTTGCGATGAATTTTTGGAAATGGGTCATAGACCACCTTCGGAATATCCATGGTATGAAGACGCGGGGTCTAGTCCGAGTTTGCGTTCCCCCAAATTTATGAAAAGTTTACCAAATGTCTCCTACAAGGGGTGGTGGACCTATCCTTACTATTCGTGCAAGTCGACGAGGTGGCTGATTTCGTACAGCGTTCCCATACCACCGCCGGGGCGTGGAGGGTAAGCAGAATTTAATGTTTTTTTTATTGAAAAAAAAAAATTTATTCGCAAAGCGACTCAGCATTTTTGTGACTTTAAATAAAAATCCTCTGTATGTCACCAAAATTACTTTGATGTTTTTGTCTTGTTTTATGAATTTTAGGTAAATAAGCACAATCATTTTGATTTATATATTTTTTTTTATTTTTTTTATCTTTATTGATACTTTATTTGCACGGAAAAAAATAGTGTGCAACATATGAGAAACAAAATTAATGTCTTTTAGTAGGACGAAAAAAGTTTAGTTTTAATTTTAATCTTGAGTTTGTCTTTTCTTTGGAAAAACCGTCATAAATGTCATAATGGTACCCAAAATAAGTGTATTAATTTTACAAATATGTATTTATTTAAATGTCTATGTTCTCTCTTTTACTTTCGCATCTTAACAACAACAAATTCAAGTAAATATTCCACATGTGATAAAGTATAACTGGATATTCTACGAGTAGTTGCAGTGAATATTTTAAACTAACTTGATTTTTTACGGGTTGCTATAAAAATGAAATCATGTGTAGAGCAAATTTTTCGTGCTGCGCACTCATGGTGTTCATAAGCAAGTGGTCATTCATAAAAATATTCGACATTGTATTATAACTGATTATATTCACATTTCATATACTTATGAAAAAAAAAGGGTTTTGCAGTAATTAAGTTTTTGCTAAAACTGACGAGGTTGTGAAAATGTATCAATTTTCGCCTTATTGTATTTCTCAAAATACAAGAGTTTTTACACTTACAAAATACTCCTAACTAAATATTATCTGATTATGGTAATACCTGATTTCATAAAAATATTTGAAAAAAAGAAATACAAGTTCTAAATTAACTTTTTTCTTTTATTTGATAAGATTTGTTATAGCTTTTTAAATTTTCTGTTTTCATTTTTTATTAGCCTTAGATCTAATTATGTAAGTCTAAACAAATATAGAGATTAATGAAATAACAAATTTGGAAATGGTGATGTGAGATTTACTTAAATTTTACTTTTTATAATAGCTTTTCTTACAAATTTAGACATTATAATAACATATTTTAAGAATTTTTTTATCTGGTACATTTTGCAATATTTTTATACAAGAGGTGTATGAGAGGGTCCTACATTTTGACAAAGAAAAGTAAAAAATAAAAAAAAATTAAGTGCCTACTAATTTTTATTATTGCTGTTACTTGCTGTTGATGTTTAAAAAAGTATTAGCATCCATGCAATGCTGGCTAAATTGGACATCAAATGTATAAAAAATATCTACAATTAATTTTAACTCCAAAATTATCAATAAACCTTCGTGATTACTTTGTTTTCTGATTAATTCCTATAATTCCAAATTACTTCTTGTAACTCCAAATTAATTCTAGTAATTAATTTTTGTTATTCCAAAATAAATCCTGTAATTCCAAATTAATTCCGATAGTTCAAAGAAATTCAATGTAATTTTAAAAAGACATTATTTTTGATAGTTTCAAAAAAGTCCAGTAATTCTAACAATCCCTTGTCTTCAGATTAATTCCTATAATTCCAAATTCATTCCTACAATTCCAAATTAATTTAATTTTTAATTTTAAAATAAATAAAAATAAGTTTTAAAATAAATTAATTCCGATAATTCTAAGAAATTCAACGTAATTTTCAAAATTTTTCGAAAATTAAAAAAAAATCCAGTAAGTTCAAAAAAAAAACATTTCCAGTAATTACAATCAATCCACATACACCAGTTCCAGAATTAACGGACCCACGTGTTAATGTAATGTAATAACGACTTAATGTAAGTACCTAATGATAATTAAAGTTACAATTTTCATTTTTTTTGTTTTTAGTTTATATTTTTTATTAATACCTACATTTAAAATTTTGTCCAGAACAGACAGAAAACGGCAGAATCGTTGAAGATTTGACTTTTTAAAAGCAGTTTAAAAAATCAAAAAGAAAGTTTATTTCGATACCAAAACCGATGCTTTAATGAGCCATTTTAACACCGATTCTGGTGTTGAAATAGACTACTACAATTTACTTTTTAGAGATCTCTTTTTTCAGGAAGTATGCACGAAATATTTGCAGTATTCATTGTGAATTCATCAAAATTTTGAAAAATAATTGAGATTTGACACTTTGAACTTTCAAATTTTCTGACATTTATTACCTATTAGAGCAAATTTCCTAAATTTTGAAAAATTGACTTTTACGTTAAAAAAGTACTTAAAACGCGCAAATAGAAAAAGTCATTTGTATTCAAATTCATTAATGTATTTTTCTAAAATCAAGCAAAATTATTTTTAAAACACTTGCTTTGAACAGCTTAGACTTGAACGTTTTCTTGACATAACCCTCGTGACTGTAATTCTCTATCTTTGTCAAACACCGACAATTCCTATGTTTACTTTCTTTCTCTAAGGGTTGGGGTAAATCGCCATCTAGTGGTTTATAATGTAATATCATTGTTTGATGTAAAACATAATAAAAATTTAGTAGTGTTTAATTTGAAATCAATCCGGAATGAAGAAAGATTTTCGTTTTCCTCGTGATTAGCTTCTCGATCGATTGTGGCGAAAAGTGTTAAAGTTAGTTGCTTCGCAAGTTTAATCCATCATTCTCAATTACAGTCTGAAAGGTTTCTTGAGTTTGGACGTGGATGTGTCGCACCTGGAAGTCAATCAGTGCGAGTCAACCACACCCATTCCGACAAATTCCAATGAAATATCAATCTTCCATGGGACACACAAATGTCACAACAGCACATCTCAAGTGAGTCGTCAATACCCAACTCCTTGGTAATTTAATTAACCCCATTTCGACCCCACCAGTGTGTATACCAAGCGCAAACAGCTTCCTCTAATTGGTCCAGAGGGAAGTATCTCTGCGTGTGCCGACCTGGCTATTATTCGCCGCATTACGACGGCGTTTTCAACGGGACTCTAGTCGAAGGTAAACTCCACTTGAAACGACACAAAACGATCGAATTTCTTGCAGTTTCGTGGCAAAATCGCAAGGAGAACGGCAGCGAGGGCGACTCCTGGAGCACGATTTTCCAGTGTAGGAAATGCGCTCCAGGGTGTCACTCTTGCACAGACCCTTCGCCGTGTCTCGCCACATATCACTGGCCCTTCAGGATCACTCTACTGGTTTTCAGTGTTAGTTGTGCCCTTTGCACCATGATTATCAACATCTACATGTTCAAACACCGAAAACTCAAAGTTTTCAAAGTCGCTAGTCCGATTTTTCTCAGTATTACACTCTTCGGTTGTGCGATTATGTACCTGGAAATGGCTGCGATTTTTCCGGTTTTGGACACTTACTCTTGTATTGCGACCAAATGGTCGCGACATTTAGGTTTCTGTATCACGTATACCGCGCTTTTGATGAAGACTTGGAGGTAAATTCGGAGGAAATTGAATTAATTTTTTTACAGGATTTTTTTTAGAGTTTCGTTAACTTATAGGGTCAAGTCGGCCCACAAAGTCAAACTAACTGATAAGCAACTTTTACAGTGGATGGTCCCCATTTTGTTAGTTATGTTGATTTATTTGGGAACGTGGACGCTTTCGGATACTCCAACAGCTGAAGAAATAGTCGATAATGAGGATTTGAGGTTCAAACAGTGTGTTTATAACTGGTGGGATCACAGCTTAGCTATTGGTAATTATTTTGCTCTGTCTAGGGAAAATAGGAAATTTTATACCTTGAAGTTAAAATATTTTGAATTATTCGTATGTAAAAAGTTCCAGGGAATCGATTGGCATTGAGAAACACAAAATTCTTAATGGTTTAGAAGTAATAGTCGAGTATAGATTTTGACTAATTTTATTTCTAACAGCGAATTTCTCAATAACTATTTGTCGCAGGGCAATAATTTTTATTTTATAAAATAGAAAATTTAAAGAGCTTTTCAATGATAATAAACTCAAACAGACTATTGATTATTGTTTTAAAGTTATTATCGAAAAAATTCATCCAAATACACTCCTAGGAATCTAAAAGGCTCAAAAAAGTGCAAAAAACGTTGTAATAGGAAAAATAAATGTCTTGCTTTAAATCCCGGTAAAGTCAGCAAATTTTCTCTAATTCTACACGTAAATACTTCAATTTTTTGCAAAAAAAATTAAAATCAAACCAAATAAAGTTTTTCGCAGTCCTATGCTTTTCTAAATTTAAACAGTGCAAAAAACATTGTTTTGATTTTTTTGAATATTGCGGCGAAACTATACCTCGAAGATAAAGTGTTTTGTACTATACATATGTAAAATGTTCTGGGAAATCGATTGGCATCGAGGAAGCCACAAAATTATTAATAATTTAGAAGTCATAAATTCTACTAGCAACTTTCTTAATAACTATTTGTCACAGGACAATAATTATTTTGTATAAAATGGGAAATTTAAAGCACTTTCCAACAATAACAAACACAAGCAGGCTATTGATAATTATTTCGAAATTATTATCTCATTATGCTACAGGTACCAAAGATTGAAAAAACTGAAAACATCAAAATTGATCCAAATGGAAGTCTAAAAAACTCAAAAAAGTCTATAAATCGTAGTAGAAACACAAATAAATGTGTATGAATAAAAATTTTCAATTAGAGCGGAGACACTAGCCGGGGGCTTCGTGGCGCAGTGGCATAAAGCCCTGCTTCAAATCCCGGTAAATACTTCAATTTTTCGAAAAATTAAAAATCGATCAAAATTGTGTTTTTTGACCTCCTAATGCTCCTGCAGACTCAAAAATAAGTGCAGAAACATTATTTTGATTTTTTAAATGTTTCGTAAATTGTGGCAAAGCTACAACTTAAAAATAAAATGTTTTGGACTTTCTTGTATAAAATGTTCCAGAAATTCGATTGGTATAAAAAAAACGCAAAATTCTCTCCCAACGAAAACAATAGTAAGTCAAAAATTACAGTGTTGAGAAAAATTGCATTGAATCTTTGATTGTTAATAAAAAAATCAAGAAACTGCTTAATATAATTGAAAATTGCTAAGGTCTAAATTTTGGTAAAAAATGGTTTATTCAAAGAAAATTTTTCTCATTGTTTTTGTATTTTGGGCCCTACATAAGCCATCGTAACTCGAAAACCAATTTTTATGAGTTACTATAGTTTTCATTGGGAGAGTCGAAGTTATAATCGAGTATGTATTTTGACTAATTTTATTTTTAATAGCGATTTTTTCAACAACTATTTGTTATGCAATTTTTTTTATATGATATGTAGTAATTTTAAAGTGACCTCTCATAGTAATACACACAAGCCGGCTATTAATAATAGTTTCGCCGTTATTAACTGATATACCAAAAATTGAATAAAATTAAAACTTCAAATTTATTCCAAATGCACTCCTATGAGTCTAAGAGACTCAAAAAGTACATAAAACCTTGCAAAAATGCATACCATAAGTTTAAAAAAAATGTGTGTGACTGAATATATTGGATTGGAGCAGAGACATTGGCCGGGGGCGTGGTGGCGCAGTGATATATATAATTCTAATAAGTACAATAAGAGAGCAAAAACGAAAATATAAACGAAGCAGAGATTTTTTTAAGATTTCTAAGACGTTAAACCTAAAAAAATAAATTTTTCTCGACGTTTTTTCGCACTCCTAAAGACTCAAAAAAACTGTATGACATGTAGTTGGAAAGCTTGAAGAACATCCAATTTTTTAAATTTTATTTTGAAAAAACTATCTAAAGCCCCAACTACAGAAAATAAGATATTCCGTTGAAATTTGCCAATTTATTAAAACATTTCAGTAGTACTGATTTACTTATAAAAAAAATAAAATAAAAGTTTTTATTTTGTAAATTTTGAAAATTTCAAGGTGAGGTCTTGTTTCTGGCGTGGGGCATCCGAGTGTGCTACAACGTCCGCAACGCCGAATCCCTCTTCAACGAAGCAAGATTAATCAGTTACGCCATCTACAACATTGCTATTGTAAACATCCTCATGATCGCTTTCCAGTAAGTCCCCAACTTTTTCGTGTTAAAATAATCGAAATTATTCAAGCTTGTTTATCTTCCCCCGTGCTGGCCCGGACATAAAATATTTGTTGGGTTTTATCAGAACTCAATTATCCACAAGCGTGACCGTGGCTTTGGTCTTTGGACCAAAAATAATTCGAGTATTACGCGGGTTGGGCGATCAATGGGACAACCGAGCCAGATCCAGGGGGGTCACAGCGTCCTTTTCCCTCAACGGAATTGGTCTCGTACCGGAAGAAGCCCCCGATTTGTACCAAGAAAACGAAGAATTGAAAGAAGAAATACAAAAATTAGCCGCGCAGATTGAGTTTATGAAGATTGTTCACATGGAAATCAACAACAGACACGTCAAACCCAAAAGTGGGGGGTATTTTACTACGTTGAATGCCCCAACTGTGGTCCACAGCCCCTTATCGAGGCAAGGGTGCTTGCTTAGTAAAGCCCCGGAGGAACTGTGACCCCAGGACGGGTACAGAAATAGGCCAGTTTTTGTTTAAATTTTAGGAAGTAGTCTTCCATTATTCATTTCTCCTTCTGCTCAATTACAAAAAACCTTCTTTTATTCAGAATCAAAAAGCTAAATAATGACTGATTTTTATAATAGATTATAGAATTGCTTACCTTGTGTGATATTCTAGGGAAAGAAGTTAGTCGCGGTAGGAGTCACTAGAACGACATATTTATTATAAAGACAAAACTGTTTGATGTGAATTAATGTTGATCTATGTCAGAAATTTAAACATCAATGTTGAAAGATGTATGTTTTGTTGATTAATTTATAAATGTGTAGGTTGTTCAATAAATTACAAATTTTTCCTTCAGAAAAAAATTCTGAAGCAAAAATTTCCACCAGTTGAGCGGTACGGGAATAAAAAACAATTTTTTTATTTATTTAATTTCACTATTTTACCTGGTTCAAAAAATCGTTTACCCGCCACTGAGTTTCCCTCTGTTGCTATGACAATTTTCATTTTTTTATTTTTGTTACCATAGTTACACAGTGCGTTTCTATAGTAACGATACAAATCCCCTCACATGTGCGACTCGCCAGGGACGGAAAAATGGTTTTCAAAAATTTTTATTCCCCTACTCTTCACTTTTGTGATAGATAACGTAGTCGGTGAACGACAATACAATATATCAATTACTCAAAACGTCTAATGCCAGTACCTGTGTGTTTATAAAAAAAAAAAATTGCCAACAACTCAGATTTAAATATTCATAGTTAATGTTTGTTGTTCTCGATGTTGACAATTGATGTTTTTGTGTCAAAAGTCTGTAGTACAAAAATGGTAAAATGAGCCCTCACAAAGGAATTTATAATAAATTTTATAAATTTCACAATTTTTTTTGTATTGCAGACTGAACTTGTAGCACTTGGTATTTAATCTGAAATTGTTGGCTTAATTTTCGGTACTGTCGTTATTTTTCTAAGTTATTGTTAATTTATTCTCAAATGTTCTATATATTTGTATTACAACAATAAATGTGTTTGTAAAACATAACAAGTTTCAAATAAACCGCCCTGAATGGCGCTTCAGTCGCCATGGTAGTAAACAAACCTGGTAGTTTGACGTTTGACTCATCACTGTATTATTATTATTAATTAAAAAATCAAAAGTTAGATAATGACAACGATCAAATTAAACGCAGTCAAAGTCGTAATATGCCTTATCTTAAGTACAAAAATCTTATCAGGTCAGTTGAAATTTTGTTTTGCTAAATAGGTTACATTCCATTCGACCAATCCAATAATCCTCATGTTACCCCAGCAACAAACCGATTAAATGCCCGAGCGACTGGACAATGGGCGTGTCAATTGTTTTTCTTTTGTTTTTCAGTCACAGCCGTCCGTTGTTATCAATGTAGTTCAGATCAGGACCCCAAAGGGCAAGATAATTGTGGGGCTTACAAAAAATTCGATAAAACACATCATATTGCGATAGAATGTAACAGTGAAGAGAGCCACATGCCGGGGTCTTTTTGTATGAAATTGACACAACAGAGCCCCAAAGGATTCATTTGTGAGTTTGACTGGTTTTAAATGATCAATTAGTGTTTTTGTTGTAGGGGATGGTCGCTGGAGACAAGTAATAAGAAGATGTGCTTCAGTTGCAGACACTGGAGTTACAGGTGTCTGTAATTGGGGGGTGTACGAAAATGGGGTCTATTGGGAGGAGTGCTATTGTTCAGCGGATGAATGCAACAGTTCTAACCGAATTACAGGGGTTTTAACCCCTGCCATAGCCACGATATTGATGCTCACTCTAAGAGTACTTGTGTAAAAAAATATGCCTTCTTTTTATTCCGTCCATGTTTTTGTTACACTCTCATTTTTGTACTTTTACATTAATAAAACTAGTTTTTTATATACGCCCCCAAAAATAACTATTTTACGACTATAAGTCTTTCAGATTTAATAAAACAGTACCTAAATTAGTTAAGTTTACAAAAAAATGTTCTCAAAGCCTCGGCTTTGCCTTGTCTGCAAAAACTATTCTAGAAACTTGCAACAAAATAACGATTTTCATATTTTTTATTAAAAAACAGTTACAAAATGAAAAACGGACGGACAAAAGTAATATTTACATCAGATCTTGGATTAAACTATTATAAAATGAGATAAAAAAATAACGGGAGAGAGTAGAAAAGAGGCGAGACTTTCAACTTTGACCCCGAATTGCATCCATCTTTGGTGTTGCAAGTGCAATATTCCATGAAAATATTATAAGTCCCTGTTCTGAGTAAACAGAAACGTTCATCCCCTTGAATTCCCGGTTCCCCAAGATAGGCACAACTTCTTATATACTTCCAAACCCCATGAACTGAAAAATAACGTTTTGTTCAATGTTAAAATGAAGTAAATCGGTTACATTTCTGTCGTATTTTTCTACACATTGTTGCTTTAACTCCAGGCATAAAATCTAAAGTTTGTTGTTTGCAATCAGTGATTGCAAAAGTCGTGTTATCGAAGGGGTCTGCACATTTGGGGTCGGCGTCTGAACGGCAGTCCCAGCACTTTATTGCCCAACCTAAAAATACAATTAGGAAAATTTGAAAAAGGGGCGAGGTCCCCAAATTAATTACCTTCTTGAATAAACAGAAATAAAACTAAGGCAGTAGTAAGGCACACAAATTGTATTAGTGTTCTCATTTCGAGATTATTTTTGGACGGTCTTAAATAAGTTTTGAGTATTATTTTCTAATAACATAAACAGGCGTGTTTACACTTCGACATTACCGACATTGCAGATCACTGTATTGAATTGATTAATGGGCGACATCTGTTGTCAAGTGTGAAAAATCATGTGACATCAATTCTGTAGTAAAAATATTGTATGTAATCGCTTTTATTAGCGATGTGGAAAAACATTTCGCCTTTGGCGCACACCCAAGCGTACAATCATCGTAAAATTCGTCAAGGTGAAATTTATTGTGTTTGTTTTGTTCCGAATATGTTCAGATGCTAACGATCCTAATGTTTAATTAAATAGGGCTTATTTATGCGGAAAGAAATGATTAGCAGGTAATGAGAAATACGTGCGCTAATTATTACATTTTTATTCTCGACTAAATTGGTTTCAAGGCGAACATTTCGCACCTTCACGTTATTATTTTTATCGAGGGAATAATCTGCAGTTATTATTAACTAAAGTTTATAATGAAGTATTCAAAAATTGATAAGCACTAATTGCCAATTTAGTCGTAAGTTGGGTCACATTTTTATTACCTTTTGTTAAAGTTGAAACTTTCATCGTGAAAACATTTCTGCATTATTATGACTCTTGATGATTAAACTTCGAAAAGATGAAAACATGCTATTAGCTTAGTCATTATTGACGAGTGTAAAATCATTTTCTATTGTTAATTTTTTGTAAATAAACAAAAATTTGTAAAATTTCCAATATGAGTAAAAATTAATGGTGATAATCCTGAAAATTTAAATACTTCAAGTTTTACTACTGTACTAGTGTTAACAATCGATGTTTGTGACAATTCGTTCTGCAAAATAAACGTAGTAATAAACATATCAACACAATGTTTTCATTATTTCTTTTATAACTCTGTTTGTTGTTAATAAACCTTTTAAACGATTTTCTGGGAAAAACGTTTTCAAAATTTTAAAATTAGACTCTAAAATCGATCGTTTTCAAGTTTTTTTTGTTTTTTTTTTTAAGTCAAAAAACCTTCAAAATAGTTACCTCAGGCCGGAACTTTAACCTCAATCTGATAGGGTTTTCTTTATTTTTTTTATGTAAATTCCGATAGCTTTTTAATTTGGTGTGAGATTCGGAGAAAAACGTGTTTAAATATTGATAAATCCGGACAATTCGGATTATTGGTTTAAAATTATTTATCAGCTTAATATCAGCGTTAAAAAAAACTACAAGTTTTTCAAAAAAATCCACTAAAATTTGAGTTATTCCAATAATCCATCGTAATTCTATTGCTATTGTTTTAATTAATTTTAAATTAATTTTCGTAATTCCAAAATAATTTCGATAGTTCTAAGAAATTCAACGTAATTTTAAAAAGAAATTGTCAATAGTAATATCCCGAGTACATGCCAAATTGTCAAAATTAAAATAACCTTGACATGCACCAGAGGTATTTTGCAGACTATTTCCCGAACAAAATTAACAAAAGCAATATTTTCATTATGAAAAATTAAAAAAAAATATTATCAATCAAAAATAATTTATGTCAATTAAATCTTTGAATTTTCTGAGATTTATGCATTCTATTTTAATAATTCCAAATAATAATGCCAATCAATTTCGATTGAATTTCAAAAATTTGTTCAACTAATTCCAGAGTTAAGCCCTACCCCTTATTCCTTATAATATTGGTCTTGTTCGTATTTTCTTAGATCAGCAATTTTCTCAATAACCTGGCCTCTCAAGGCGACGAATTTTTTTTATAATTAGATGTGAAATTTGAAATTAAAAAAGATATTCAATTGTACCAAATGTTAGTTCAGGCCCGTAGCTAGAGGGGGTCCAAATAGGGCTGAGCCCTACTTTAAAACTTTGTCTTTTTTGACACCTTTTTTTTGAAATAATAACACATAAAGTTGTAATATGTGTATACAAACTGTACATTTGTTTGTACATTTTTTTTATTGTCAATCAACATTTTTTATTACTCTTTTAGATAATTTTAGATAATTTCTGGTAAGCATAAAAAATTTAAAATAATATAGCAAAAAATTGAAAAAAAAAATAAAAAAACTTAAAAAAAGATATAGAATGTTTTATACAATCAGCTTTATCTTTTTGTTCTTGCTTTATTTTATAAGGGGTGATTGTTTCTGTTTTTTTGTGTTTAGGTTTCTTATCAAGTGTTTTCATGCTAATTATGTAAAATAATGTACAAAAAACAATTGTCTCTTATAAAATAAGGCAAGAACAAAAAGATTTGAGTTTAATTGTCAATATTTTTTTTAAGTTTTAATTACACTTTTTTTTCTTATTACTAGAAAGATAAAAATGTGTGTCATTTAAAACAGTGAACAAAAATGTCAGTTGTCATTAAAAAAAAAATGACGTCACAACTCAAACACGAATGATGCCATAAATGTCACTATAATGTCAATGGTTTCTAGCCTGCTTTAGTTCCAGAGTTATTAGCGCACAACCTATCAAGAATTAATCCAAAATTCGAAAAAACTACAAAATTCGGAAACTCAAAAAAAATCTAAAAAAAAGTCCGCAAATCGTAGCAGAATCACAAAAAATTAATTTTTGATGTATGAATGAACACACATTATTATTGTATTGGAGCAGAGTCACTGACCGGAGGCGTGGTGGCGCAGTGACATAAGGTCCTGCTTTCAGGTTCGAATCTCAGTAAGCATAAGAGCTTCATTGTAAAATCGATTTTTTTTATTTTTCGAAAAATTGAACGACATCAAAATTGATGTGTTTTTATTTCACTTTGGCCCAAAATTTTTAAAAGCGGCTAAAATCAAACTTATTGAACGTAAAGTTGAAACAAGATGGTCGCCGTAGAAAAGTGGTCTAAGCAGGAAAAATGAAAAAGCTCTCTATCCCACATTAAACAGTCTTCATTTATGCCACGCCTCATGACATCAGCGTGTTTACTCACCTTCATGAGCGTCTTATTTCCCATAAAAACAGCAAAATTCCATCGACTGAACTTAATTAACCGGCCTTGAAACGTACAAACCGATTTAATTAACTTCATGTGAAAAAATCAAAGACAAACTTACAAAAAACAAATCTATTTTATTGTTAAAACTTAGGGCTATGTACATAAACTTCAATACAAGACCTTGACTACGTTTTTTGGTCATTCTGAAACACTGAAAAATACTTTTGTACCCGGATTCTAATCAAGAAAAAATTCAAAATTATCTGCGGAGGGAATAGAGGAACACAGCTGGTACCACCAACCCAGCCCAGAGACTACCACGGAGTCCAGCAGCGTGGTTGCACCCATCGTAATCGCAATACTCGCAGAACTCGATGTTGCTGCTCTTCTCCGGACAGGTTCCCACAGCCTGGTTCATGGATACGGGCTTGCATTCTCTCGTTATGATTTTCTTACCATATGGGACTGTGGAAAACGAGTTGATTTTTTACGCAACGGAGACTTTCACTCACCGTTTATAATCCTCTTGACGCACATTGGCTTTTGGTTGTAGATCTGACCCAGATTATTCTCGCATTGCCTCAAAATGGGCATTTCGTTGCGCTGGTTCTGGTAGTTGGGGTTGACCTGTTGGTAGCTGTTCCGGAATTGGGCGAATTTGGTCGCGTTGAAATGGTCCATGCACGAGGGGTCCAAGTCCGAGGAGCAGGACCAACATTGCAAAGCCCAACCTTAAGAAAAAAAAATTCAAAAGATTGTTTACCGGTCACACCTACAAAAACAAAGACGGAAACTCTTCTTCCTTCTCTTTTACCTTACGTAACTTCTTGTAAATAAACATGAGGACGCCTCTCGCATCCAAAAACAGTTAAAAAACTTGTTGTGAAACGCAATTTTTGAATTAGTGTGTTGTAATTTAACCTTGATGACTTTACAATGCAATTAAAATAAAAAAAATACGGGTCTTGATTGATAAATAAATCGCCCCCATTTCTCGATTAATTGATTGATAAGACTCACCGCTGTGGACGAAGGCGAGTAAAAGGGTCAAAGCACCGGCGAAGTACACCATTTTCACCAAAACAACACAAAGAGAAGAAATGTTGTATGCGCCACCAGAACGACAAATATTCGAATGTAAAGTGCGATGGCGGGTTTTAAGGTACCCCTCCGGATTATTATTTCCCCTCTCCGCGTTGAATTATTAGGTATGCTGGTGGAGGGACTAATGAAAATTCGAAAAGACGTGGGAGAATTTTATTAAAGTCGTAAACCGACATGGAGATGATTTCATTATTTATCATAAATGACGAAAATAGGAGTTTGCGAGAGACGAAATGATTGTTTTGGGGTGATAACCTTCAAAATTTTTCCGTTTTGGGGTTTGGAATCAGTTTTTCACACATTCTTGGATTGGTTTTTTCGATGGCCGCGATTATTTGTGGTTTCTTTTTGTTGTGAATATGGAACAATGTCGTGCAAGTACAACGCAATACAATAACGTTAAGGTAACACGTGTTTTCATATAAAATTATATAAAATGTGACCTTAGAAGCGTATGTTGGTTATTATGTTACAAAGTTGATTTTTTTAGAACGATTAAGTGGGACTTTGTCTTTGTTTATGTTCAATTTTCAGATCTTTACTTTTTAAAATATTATTATTATTACACCAAACACAATTTTCAGGTTAATTCATTTGACTTTACTCCTTCTAATTGATGATTAAATAATTGACCTTTAGATTAACTAAGTTTGTCGTCTGGTGGTATGGAAGACTGCTTGGCTTAAGACTATTTGATGCGAAGGTAGGTAACTATTTCAAGGTTTTGTGAATCAGGATCCGCAATAAACAAATTAAATTCTCATTTTTATATTTTCAAGTAAAATGTACTTATTTGTTTCATTTCGGGACAGATCGTTGCAAAAAAAAATACGATTTTGACAATGCAACAAAAAAATTTAATATGTCTTTCCAGAACTAACGCATTTTTCAGTTTTCGAAATTTATTTTCAGCATTTAATATTTCTACCTGTTTGTTGTCAACTTGGTAGAATTTCATATTTGTTCCACTTTAAAGCAAGCAAAATAAGCATTTTAAAATTGCTTTATCGTCGCAGTATTTTATTATTTTTTATTAATACAGTATTCCCAATTTATTTTTGGATTTAAATAACAAACTTTTAGCATTTATTTTTCACTTTTTACTCATACGAAGTAATTTTACCGTTATTTTTAGATTCAAACATCAGTATTTCATCATTTTATTGTGTCATTTTACATAGACATAAGCATTTTCAGAACTTTGCAATTTATTAATTATTTTATTCATACGTTAAAACTTTATTGACCAACTTATCAAAATTTTACTACCTACTACGTAATATTAAAAAATAATAATAATCAAAAAAAAATTAGAGAAGGCGACCATTAATATTCTGCAGTTGGCAACAAGTTGACTGGGAATCTGTTTTTTTTTTTCACACAAACCGAAAGTTGAAATGACCATTCACCGTTTTCGTCTTGTACATCATTTTTGTAATAACTTGCAATAAAAAAAAATCTGCTCTAAAGTGAGCATTATTTTACTTAAAATGTCAAAAATCAGTATTGCCATCTGAAGGACTTTAATTACCGCCTACTCTAATTTATTTTTTTTTGATCGCACGGTAGTACATTATGTTATTAGAAGTAAAAATGATAGTTAGCTGAACATTTATTACACCCAACGTAGTGAGGCAGATAATTCAGCTGAGCCACAAAAACCCACATTTACTCCAAGTAACCTATAATATTTTATCCGCACACGTATTCAGATCACTATAATTAACAAGTAAATAAACAAAATAATCAGGACGCTTTGAAAGTAATGAAATTGTAACAACGTTTATAAACATACATCTTGGGTTAGTATCGGAAATTGATGATGATGATCTACAAGGTACCTCTCGAGAAATTGCTGAAGCAATAAAAAAACAACATTGATAAATGTCAATAATGTCATAATAAAAGTAAAAAGGCTTATGCAAAAAAACAAAATTTTTACTCCATGCATGGCTGAAAGGTAAAACTTTTATTTAGTCATAAAAGTGGTCACTTCTGTTCATTTATCATTTTAAAGCATAATTATTCTAAAAATATGAACATTTTTTCATTTAAACGTTTTGAAATTTGAACCTGTTCACTACTGTAGAATTAAAGAAGTTTTAAATAATTTCAGGTTTCGCAACTTTTCCTCATCATTCTACAATTTTTCCGATTATTTTAACACTCAAATTTTAGCATTTATTTTTCGCATTTTACAATTTTGTCAGCATTTTATTAATTTATTATTATTACTAACGATAATTTTATTCCACACACTCACATAACATTATCATCAGCATTTCATACTGACATATCAAGCATTTTCAAAGCTTTGCAATTTATTGAATATTTTTTTAATTACATCTTATAATTTAACAAAGTGAAAAGAAAGTATTTTCTCGAAAATTTTACGATTTTTTTGTTTCATTTGTCATTAAAACAGTAACGTTACGTCATTTTACAATTGATTATAAATGTTACAATTTCAACATTAAAATGACAACATTTCGACTCCCCCAACGAAAACTATAGTAACTCAAAATTTACAGTTTTGAGATAACTGCATTAAATCTTTGATTGTTAATAAAAAATCAAGGAACTGTTTATTATTATTGAAAATTACTGAGGGTCTAAGTTTTGGTAAGTAAACATTGTTTATTAAAAAAAAAATTACATTGTTTTTGTATTTTGGGCCAATATCAAAAATTGTCGATTTAAATTTTCAAATTTTGAGGTTTAGCCCTGCGTGGTTAAGAATTAATTTATAACATAATTTTAGTTTTAAAAAATGAAGTATGCCTTAGAAATTTTCAAAAAACTATTTTTTGGAGATGGCAAATACGACAAAAAGTTATTAAGAAAAATTGTTTAGAATCAACATTTAGGCCCCTATACCAAATTTCAAAATCATCGGCAACTATGATTTTAATTTTTTTTCCGAAGGTATAGTTGCTTTTTAAAAAATCTATTGTTTTTTATACGAATTGTGGCAACGTCGCAGCAACTATGTTTAATTTATTTATTACACAAAAAAATATTTGAACTTTTTTTTGTTTTTTTGGTAATGTTCCAATTTGTGAACAGTGTTGGCAATTTTGTCTTTTTACACCTACAATTCAGTTTCTATGTAATTATGTACGCACGTCTTTAGGTCACTGTGTATACAAAACAAAAAAATACAAAAAGTGGTTGAGTGGTTAATAAGTTTTCTGCTAGACCTCGTATATCCTCTGCAGGTCGAAGTCAACGTTTCCTCTGGAGAAAAAGCAGGAAAACAGGTGTGCACGCAACTGTTTCAATGGGGTCACTCGAAAGGTACTTTGAAAATACCTAGAACCAAAATAACAGTTGCGTATCTGAAACAAAACGAATTCAGCTATCGCCCACCACGATTTTCCACACTGTGTACGACGATGTGACCTTGTGTTTCTGACCGTAGAAGTAGTGGCAATCTCGAGAACCAGGAAACGCGAAGTTTGCTTCATTTTCCCCGAAAAACTTCCAAAGAATTAAAAAATAATAATGAAATGTGCGGCTTTTTTGACCTGTCTTCTGACAACGATACAAATCGGTACGTAAATTTTGAAATATTACGTCACAGAACTTGTTCTTTGTTTACAAAACAATACTGCGCCATTTTTAAAAAGACTTGAGATTTCGAAAATTTTAAGGACACGCCTTGAACTGCTACAAGTGTAATGGTTGCGAAACCGCAAAAAACATGAAGGAAACTTGCCGAAATGTGGACCCAGCTACACAAATCAGCGCCTGCTTGACGCAAAAAATTCATGGTGAGTACCGCATTAATGGATTACATAATGAAGAAGTGTCGTAGTGGGTGGTACTCCTGAACCAATGACCATCAAGAAATGCACCGTTTATGGCAAAACCGAAAAATTCACGTGTCCGACTCTTCCAGAAATCGATACGCTTTCGTGTCAGATTTGTCATGAAGATTTTTGCAATTCTGGAATGGCACTGAGGATAAATCTGTACCTGATGTTTTTCGCCATATTTCTTGCATTGAAATTCCTTTAATGTTGAGCTTGTGTAAATAATTATTTTTAAAAACAAAATTGTTTGAAAAAATTAAGAGTGTTTTTCTGGTATGATTCATGCCTATTAATAATAAGGTGTGGCTAAACTCGCGATATTAGTGTTTTTATGGTGTTAGTTTTAATTGCAACACTAAAATTGTTGGTTGTCTAACAGTTAATCAAAAACGATCAAAATGGACGAAAAATGATTAAAAATCGTTACATTATTCTAAAAAAAACTACGTTTATTGAAATAAAAATTAAGTACTAAATTATTATAGACTTGGACTCAAATTTTGACAGAAAAAAGTATCGAGAAATCTAATTTCATTTTTTAAATAATTTTAATTGGTTTATAAACTTAAAAGATTTTTCAACTTTTAGGCACATAAAAGTTATAACTGTGAATAAAAAAATTTTGTTTTGATAAATTTTGAAAAATAACTTAATTTAATTAATAACTTATTAGAATTGATAATAGAAAAGTAGGAAGTAGTTTCTTTTGACCCTATCAAAAAGTAAGTTTTTTCCACCCTAATTTCAAAAAGGATAAAGTCCTCTCTATGAGGCCAAAATTGTCATAAAAATCTCGATTACTTTATTACTTGGTTGAAATTCTTTGACTCAGGTTGATTTCCGGTTTAAAATTTAACCAAATCGATTGGAAATAGCACAAATTGCTTCATTTTGGCCTAAAATTGGATTTTGAGCAATTATTTTTTTAAATACATTAATTTAGAATGATTTCTGTAATAAAATCGAACAAAAGTAGATTGGAAATACCTAAAATTGTTTTATTTTAACAGAAAACTATTATTTACACATTTATTTTGTTAAACTACGTTGATTTAGGTTGTTTTTATTCTTAAAATTATATATCTGTAAAAATTGCAATAAAAATATGTGTATGTAACTTCTCAAGGAAGTAAAAATTTTGATTTAATGACAAATGGGGACATCAAGAAAAATTGTTACTTTAAAATTTTTTTTGTGGTTCGTAGGAAATTTTTGGTAACCACCTGTGGGAGAAAAAGATACATTTTCCTCCTCTGTGATACAAATCACTATTTTGCACATTGGTAAATCAGGATTTGCCTTATCATTATTTTGATATAAAAAGTAAACACAAATAAATTGTATACCAGGTAAACAGAAAGTATCATAAAAATGTAACGTTTCTCAATAATAAAATTTTTGAAATTATTAATATTTCAAATGGGAACCAGTATAAAACCTTTTTTTACAAAGATTTTGATGTAAGGAATACAAACATCTGCTTCATTCCATTTTTAACGAAAAATTTTTCCATGTTTCCATTTTATGAAAACAAATTGCATAACTTAAAACAAAATTTTATTTTCAAAACACGATCAAATTTTTAACTTTAATTGAGTGAGTGTTTAAAAAAAAATCCCCTTGATTCCATACTTTTTGCTCACCTTGTATGTTATAACATAAGCAAAAAGAATAAACCTCGGAGCCGACAAAATATATTAAATCGTAATTTTGACTAATGTAGTTTTTTACAATTTTTTTTTTCTGGAAAACAGTTTACCATCAAGTTGCAACACCCATTTTTTCGAAACAGTATATGACTTATTATTTTTTTATAAATATTTTCTTAATACTTGAAGCAAATTTTTTAATTAATAAGAAGTATTTCTCGCTATAGAACTAAATTGTGTTCGATTTAAAAAACTCTAGATACAACAGATACAACACTGTAAATAAGTGATAACTGAAACTTTTAGTCTTTGGTAAAGAAAGTTTCGTTTTTATTTTTCATAAGAAAATAAAGACAAAATTTGATTTAGTTTAAATTAAGAGCTGTTAAAATTAGTTAAATTAATAAAAAATTAATAATTTGAAATGTGCGCATTTTTTTAACGGTTATCTTACTTTTAAATGTAATTAATTTTCCTAAAAATTTAAATTTATTAAATACTCATTAAAATCGTTACAAAATAAGATTTTACGCAAAAAACGCAATAACAATAATTCAAATTAATGTGAACCAGATTTTTAAGTATAAGAAATTAAGACAATTAAAATCGCCATTTTAATTTTTGTTCTTGAAATGTTAAATAAAAATTTCAAGGGTGTGTTAACAGATATTTATTTGAGATTATTTTCTGAGTTCAATTTGTTCAACTTTTCATTTGTAACATCCACACGTTTCTCTGTTCCCTTGACCAACAAATAAAATAACGCAATGTTTCAATAGGTGGAATTATCGTACGAAATATTGACACGAATTTTTCCTCCAGATCCTCCAAAAGTCACTGTATTATTATTATTACTATTACAACGGTCGGTTTTGCAAGTTACACAAGAAATGGTGGTGTATTGTGGGTAATCTGGACATTCGTATTTTGTATTCTTTTCATACAAGACGCACTTCCTTTGGAAAAATGTCCGGTTACGTGTATCTGTAATTAGAATATTAATCACTTTTTCTATTAATTAATTACAAACCTTTGAACATTTCGGTCAAACACGCGACTTGTTGAACTTCTCCGGGATCCAGACACAATTCGTCTAAAGGGTCATCACAATCCATGTTGCATTGTTTACAAATAAGGGCAAAATCTTTAATAAAAATGTTAAGTAGTTTAAGGATTTGAAACAACTTACTTGTTTTGAAAAAAATGAAGAGTAAGAAGGTTAAAATGATTGGTTTACAAGCCGACATGGTTGCTTCATAACTAAATAAATATATTCAGATTGCAAATCTGACCTCTGCATTGACAGATTACAAGACTAAGACGTTATTTTTAGCACCAGTTGTAATCCTTGCCTCGGGGAAAAAACGAATCAAAGATAAATAATTTATTAGTGATTCTACATACATATAATACAAAATACTTTTTACAAATATTGTAATTACAAAATTTTGGATACAAGAATCGATAATACAAGACTGACAATCCCAAAAAGTCCCAATTTCGTAGCTGAATTTTTCTCATTACAGAAATCTTCAACACATGTGTAACATTTAATCTGTTGGTTGTTTGGGTTTTCTATGCAGTCGTATTTCCCAGTATTTTTAAACCGATTGACACATTTTTTCTCAGTCATTTCTTTTTTGGTGGTGGCATCTTTGTAGATGTGGATCAAGCAGGCGGCTTCTCGATCGGAGGCTCCTGCAGGACATGTTTCATCCCTTAATTTGGAGCAGGAGCCGTCGGTGTCGTCGCACACTTTGCATTTCAGTGCCACACCTGCAGAAAACAAATTTAGGAGAGGTTTTATCAAGTATTTCTGACAGTATGACGCACGCACGCTTTTATGTATCTAGTAGGCGGGAATGTTGAATATTGATAAGGAAAAAATGTATGAGATAAGTAAGAAATGAGGTTTTACCTATGGCACTATGAGGAATTTTTTTTTAATTTAATAAGAATTTTTAGATTTTAATAATAAAAATCAATAGTAAAGTTCAAGCACAATTTTAATTATGAATACTAAATTCTACTTACTAGCTTGGATAACAGCCAAAAACAGGAAAAATACAGCAATTTGTGCCATTGTGTTGATGTTTTTCTTCTATATTTGTGGTCAGTGTAATTCAAAATGGCGTTTGTTGGAACTGCTGTTTAAAGTTGAAGCACTGTTAAGGAACTCAGCTCTTGCTGTCTTTCTGTCTTTTTTTAGTTTGAATCGCAGTGGGCATGGCAACAAACAAAACAGAATCGATAAGAGAAGGTAACCGCTGACATCTATAAATAACATAGTCAACTACAAGAGTATTGAAAATGGCATCTGCCACTCATTTTTAATATTTTTTTTCAATCTTTTAGTAATCATGAGAAATTTTACAATTACAGTTCAAAACCTACAGTGTGTCGCCGGATAGGTGAAATGACTCTCATAAAAGATAAAAAAAATTCGATTTAGATTTTCATTTTTTTAACACAATTTTAGTTTTTAAAAATTAAGTATGACTTGGTAATTTTCAAAAAATCTATTTTTTTGTAGAGCAAAGTGCCTTTTGTGTGACAAATACGACAAAAAATTATTAAAAATGTTGTTT